AGGAGGGACGGTAGCCTGAGGTGGTAACACAGAAAATCAGTCTGCAGGTTTGGGGGTGATATCAGCATGTGGTAAGGGGGCAGCATGAGCGGAGCAGAGAGAATGATGGAAGGGGTCAGCTGGGGTGCTGCTGGCTGACCTCCCATGCGGGCTCCCCGTCCCCAGCTCCCAGCCCATCTGGACCAGAACCGGCACCAGCGGCATCCTGAATCCTGCTGTCTCCATAGGAACCGAGGTCTCAGCTGCCCACCCACCCCTCAGGCCTGTGGGGCTGAGAACCAAGCATAGCCCAGCCCAGTGTCCCCCCTGCCCAGACTCACTCACACACCGAGAACCCTCACCTCCTCGCACCGGTGCCCGCGTACCCAAACAAGCAGGCCGTGGTGCACACGTGTGTACGGGGTGGCCCATGTGTGTGCACACACATGCACACACACACACACACACACCACACTCGTACACAAAGTGAGCTTGTGAACCCGCACACCCCTGTGAATACACACATCTGGTCACAGGCATTCATACCGGCCCACCAACACCCCCACACATACTCACAAGCAGGCCCAGATGGATGCGTGTATGCACGCACGCATACACACACACACACACACACACACCAGTGCCCGCAGCACCCAGCAGGCCCGGAACCAGCCAGCCCAGCCAAGCATGAGATGCCCGCCCCCAGGGAGGCCGCTGTGGGAGGCACAGGCTGGCAGCTGCTGAGTCAGCCCAGGGAGACAGCAGGGACATCGTCACGTCCAGGGGGAAGGTATGGGCCAGTTGGGGCGGAATGGGGGAAAGAGCTGGCAGACCCAGCTGTCCGGTCCTCAGGCCAGGGCGCAGAGCACCCACCATCAGGCCTGACAGTCCCCTGGGGGTGAGCATGGCCCTCCCAGTTCCTCTTTCCCCTATGCGTTCTTGTGCCCGGACTCCCCAGGGCCAGAAGGAGCGCCGCCCCCACTCCTTCCCTGCTCCCCTCGCCCCAGGCCTGGCCGCTCCACTCCTCACCTGGCCACCACCTCGTCGTCCACTTTCACTATGCAGTAGGGGTCACTGCTCCCAGACCTGCAGTTTGGGAAGGGGGGTTGAGAGGGAAGTCATGAGTGGGGGGCGTCCCAATCCACCTTCTTTATACTGAGAGGGGCGCCGAGGCCCAGACGGGGGAGGGAGTTTGCCAAGGATCCCACAGCAAGTTCGGCTGAGGGGCAGGACCTCAGGCGGCCAGCCGGAGAAGTCGTGGCTGCACAGCCCCCCCACCGTGTCCCTGACACACCGCACATGGGACCTCCAGTGGAGAAGGGGATTCCACAGAAATGGAACCCTGAGGCAGGAAGCCAAAAAGTTCAGTGTCCTGGTCGCAGGAAGCCCAAAGCAGAGGTCAAGAGCCTGTGCCGGGGAGTCATCCCTGGCGAGTCATCCCCGGCTTCCCCACCTGCCGGCTCTGGAACCCTGGCAAGTCCCCTACGCTCTGTGGACCTCGGTTTCTCTGCTTTGTGAATCAGGCATCACATAAACACACCTCCCAGGGCAGTTGGAGGAATTAAAGGAGATTATGGGTGGGGGGAGGCGTCACAGGCTTACCCCAGAACTCTCCCCCAGGTGCCTTAACACCACCCTCTTGGGTGGGCATTGCCCTCTCCAGCTTTTCATTTCAACCCAAGTTTCCTGGGAAGGTGGCGGTAGGGGTGAGGGGTTCCTCCCATTGCTCGGCCTTCAGCGGGGAGGGACCTCAGCAGACTCTCTCACTGCAGGCACAAACCAGGGCACCCAGACCTCAAAACTCAACTAGCAGGACAGATGCGTCCCATTTCCCTAGTGGCCATGAGCCATCAGCCAACCAAAGCCAGCTCCATCCCCCCTTCGTAATAAGAGTTGCTCCATCCCCCCTTCATAATAAGAGTTGCCAGTCCATCCATCTCCTCCCCTAGTCTCATCACATAGGCCTCCTCTGTCTTCTCAAGCTCAGTCAAACCTCAGGGTCCATCCATCTAAGATATCCTGGCCGTGATCTTGTCATGGCTGCCTTCGTCCTGTCACTCAAACCTCACCCCCAAAGGTCACCTTCTCAGAGTAGGCCTCCTCTGTCTTCTCAAGCTCAGGGTCCATCCATCTAAGATACCCTGGCCGTGATCTTGTCATGGCTGCCTTCATCCTGCCACTCAAACCTCACCCCCAAAGGTCACCTTCTCAGAGAGGCCATCTCTGACCACCACTGTCCTATGTAACACTGACCTCTGATGCCTCTGAGCATCTGAAATCGTCCTGTTCCCTTGTTTCTCTCTGTGTTTCTGCGTCTCCCTGGCTCCCTCAGCTTTTGAACTGTGAACTCCTTGGGGGAGGAATTGTAGCCTCCTCCCCTCCCCCCACCTGGCAGAGCCAGGATCCGAATCCAGGTCTCTGGGGCTGAGTGCACCTGCTCTTAACCAGTGCCACCTCCACCTTAGCTCACGACCCCTTCCCTAAACGGCCCCCTCCTTCGACACCCCAGTCCCCACCTTCTCCCTCCGCCACCCCCTCTCAGTTCGGCTTGTCGCCAGTCTCGAAACGCCCAAGAATTCCAGGGAACAGGGACGTTGGCACCAGGAGCTGGCTCCAACCTGAGGTTTGTCTACTGGCTGAGCTCTCCCTGTGCCTCAGGTTCCTCTCTGGACTCCTTACTTTAGACCCCTCTGCTGGGTGCTCCAGGGTCCCCATTTCCCCACCTGGTCCCCATTCCTGAGCACCTCAGACTGGGCAGTGGCCTGTATGTCCGAGTTCCTCTCTGCATTCCACCTCCGATTCCCCTTTTGTGTGGTGTCCCAGGAGCCTCAGCTTCCCCTTTGGATCTATCCCAAACCCACTGGGCTAAGTAACCCCGGGAGCCTCAGTTTCCCCACCTGGCTCTCCCCTGCTGGATGCCTGAGGCTAGGTAACCTCCTACATCTCATTTCTCTCTTTGGGTTTTCTATTCCCTGAGCCTCTTGAAGGCTCAGTTTCCCCAGCTGCAGATGTGGGCTGGGATCCCACCAGCAAAGGGCTGGGAGACACATCCCCTCCTGTTGACCCAGCCTGACCCCAGCCCCTCATGGGAGCCAAGTTCACGCGTCAGTTCCAGGGCTCTGACGCACAAGGGCCTTATCAGCCTCCTATCAGGTAGGGGCAACAGTGACGGGAGGGGGCTGCCCCTCCCAGATCCTCCATCTCTCCAGACCCTTGGCCTCTCCCACGGCCCCAGCCCCAGCTCAAGCTCAAGCACCAGAAGGCATGCCATTGCCTGCCCCATCTGCTCTGTGCATGGGAGCAGTCGGGCCTCAGAGCCCAGCTGCGTGACCTTGGGCAAGTGCTTTTGCCTCTCTGGGCCTCAGTTTCCTCATCTGGAAAATGAAAATGCTAATAGAACCATAAGAAGTGTTATGCACGGGACCTGGCCCATAGCCGGCCCTCGATGACGTATAGCTGCTATTATTAATGATAACGATAACTCTAGAATTATCGGCTGAGTCTTCCTCCCATGCCAGGTTGGACCTCTCCCTAAAACCTGGCGAGGCTTCAGGAAGAATCCGGACCCTTCCCCTTTTAGGAGAAGGGAGAGCGAACACATTCTCGGAGAAGAGCCCCTCTGAAGAAGGGAGCCAACAGCTGGGGAAACTGAGGCAGGGTGGCTGGATCCCCGACTAGGGCTTAGTGACTCCTCCCTACCCTTGCTCTGGTGCGCGGCCCACCCCAGAGCTCACCTTGGCCCAAGAACATGGAGGAGGAGGGGTGGCCAAGAGACGCAGGAACCAGGCATGACTCAACACCCTCCTCAGGAGAGGCGTAAGGAGCTCCCTTGTGGCTCTCACCAGGACTGGCGGGAGGCCAGAGCACAGTGAGATGGAGACCTGGTTTCTGGAAGGTCCCCCTCCAAGCCCTCCAGCAGCTGCCAGGCCCCCACTCCTAACCTCGATGCCCTGACAGTTCTAGAATCTCTCATTCTCAGGGGCTCTGAGAAGACAGCTCAGAAAGAAGGCAGAGGGTTTGTCCAGATGCTGCATTTGTACAGCAAGCTCTCTGCTTCGATCTCAGGGGTGTGTTTATTTGGGGTAGCTAAGGAGGATGGAGAGAGAGCTAAGCAGCTCCCCGCTCCTTGACACAGCTGCAGTGTTGGGGAGAGGGGAGGTTCATGAAATCAAAGGCAGGATACTCCTCACCGGGGGCCTACAGCTGGAGGAGTTCGGGCAGCCTAAGCCCTGACCTGTGTGAGGCCTCAGAGTCCAGGTTCCTGCTTCCCTTGGCCACAGGCAAACCCCAACAGGTTCTCCACCCTCACAGCTGCAAAGGGCTTGGAGACCTCTGTCCAGAGCTCCCATTGCACAGATGTGAGATCGAGACCCAGAGCGGACCAGGTCCAAGGTCACACAGCCCGTGTCCTGCCAAGGATCCCAGGTGCTGACACTTTCAGAACCTCTTCTGGGCCCCAGGCCAAGTGGAGGGGGACCCTTCCCGCCATTCTGCTGATTTGGCAACTGCTGACTCAGCCGTGGGGGAAGCACAGCCCAAGACTGGTACCGAGGGGAGCCCAGGATCCTCCAGCCTGTCACACCTGGCTGGGGAGGGGCCTGCAAAGAGAGGAGTTGGCTCTTAAGACCCTCAGCATCAAGGGAAGGTCCACACTGGGCTGGGACCTACTGGCTGGGGAGCTCAGGGCTCTGGGTGAAGAGGACCCCAGTTGCCCCCAGGGCTGGACGGTTGGCCATTTCTTGGCACTGTGCAAACCCAAACCCCAAATGCACATAGAGGAATTCTGGAGCCTGGAGCCACCTGGATTCCCCGCCTGTCGGGTTCCTACCCAGGATTCTGTTGATAGGAGCTCACCCAGGCCCGGAGAAGCCCCACCTCTGACACCTGCCTGGACTGAAGAAGAGACCCTCCCCGCAACCCTTCCGCAGCTCCGACAGAACCCGTCCCTCCAATCCCCAGGACTGACGCTCTGGAAGACCCCCGCTTCGTGTATCCCTGAAACAAAGACATCCCTCCTTCCCGGGGGGCAGGGCGGGGCATCTGCTAAGTCTGGGTCCCCCCTCCTACCACGACAGCGATGGTCACGGAGCCGCTTGCCTCATGAAGGCAGATAGGCGGGGGTCTCAGGCGAGAACTCCCGCCCACCTCACCGACCCTCCCTGGCACGCGGAATGGGCGACTCCCACCCCATCCCACGCTCCATGCGTCCCTCGCCCCGGGCTCGCCCCGGGAGTACTCACACGTCCTTGGCGGGCAGCGCCCGGCCCTCCACCACGCGGACATTCAGGGAGCTGCTCTTGGCCATGGCGCCCAGCCCCAAACTTTCCAGGCAGGTGGGCGCCCAGATTGTGAGGCTGGACAGCGAGATGGGGAGGGGGCGTTCGGGGTCGTCTACATATCACCAGCTGCGAGCCTGGCGCCCTGTCCTGGCGTCGCAGCGCCGCCTGTCCGAGACGCGGGTAGCTAGGCAGGAGGTTTCCGAAGGAGAAGAAAAGACAAGTGTCCGAGGAGGGGGCGCACCCCGCTCCCCGACTCTACAGGTAGGAGCCGTGCGCCCAGCAGGCTGAGAGCACAGGCGGCACCGCGGGCTCTCGCCTCCTCTTCTGGAGCTCCTGGTGGGCGG